ATAAATATTTTAATTTTAGTTATTTATATAATACTTATATAGTTTTTTTTTTAATAAATATGTATGTATTATTTTACGTTTGCGACAAAAATATGATCCAAGAGAAAAAAAATAAATTGAAACATTATCGTTAAATTAAAAAAAAAACATCTCATTTTCTTTGTTTTCGATGAGTTTAGAACACGTTAGTTTTGATAAGCTTGTGTTTCAAAATGTCCTTGTATTCTACATTCTAGGACAATCTCTCTCTTTCTTTCTCTCTCAAGCTCTGTATATACTATCTCCTTCCCTCTCTCTCTCTCTCTCACTCTATCTTAAACCTCTTCTTATGCATTAAGCTCTTCGTCTCACGTCACAGTGAATTTCCAAAGGCAAATTTGCAACCGAAGATTTAATGTTTCATCAAGTTTCCAACTTACCAACTGCCACTTGAACGCCTTTTCCTATTTCACTTCTAACACCAATTATGCACACATCGTTAAACAATGTCAGTAATGCACATCCTAATGGCAAATTAATTCTTGTCAACCTTTACCCTTAAGAAACATTGTTACATTACTTCAAAATGTATTATATAGACAAAACAAAACTTTCATATATAAATTAAACTCAAAAAGCTATTTCTCAAGTTTTCAAATTATTTTCTATATTCTAAAGAAACTTTTCTTATATTGTTCATAAATCGTTTATTATCAAAATGTTGTTAATAACTTTCTTTTTTGTTGCTGTTCTAATTTCACAAATTATCGTTATATTAATCAAAAATTATTTCCTTTTTAAAAAGTTGGGGTGCAGTTCCGAATAGCACATACCTCTGATTTCGATAAAACTTGGTATCCCTACGTAATTTGGTGCGCTGATTACGAAAATCATAGTGAAAATTGGCGGAAATTTAATTATCATGGTAAAAACCATAAAAAACACCATAAAATCATGGTTTTTTTCGATTATCTCGTAAAAAACAAAAAACTTCGAAAAAAGTTTTAGACGAAAGTTGTAGATCTCTAAAAAACACACATTTCATGTTTTATGCATTTTTTACCAAAAGTCATTATTTTTCGAGAAAAACGCAAAATAGTAAACACGGCCTTCGGCCGCGTAAGGTACTGCTCGCTTCTCTTTTTAAGAAATCTTGGCGAGAGGGGGTGGATGTGTCCGAAAGTAATTTGCAGAAATTATCATATTCACCATTACTCAGGATCCAACGAATTCCGCAAAATACTTTCGGCCATATCCACCCCCTCTCGCCAAGGTTTTTTTAAAAAGAAAAGCGAGCAGTACCTTACGCGGCCGAAGGCCGTGTTTACTATTTTGCGTTTACCGCTGCTGTAGACTCCACCCCACAATTTCTGCAAATTACTTTCGGACACATCCACCCCCTCTCGCCAAGATTTCTTAAAAAGAGAAGCGAGCAGTACCTTACGCGGCCGAAGGCCGTGTTTACTATTTTGCGTTTTTCTCGAAAAATAATGACTTTTGGTAAAAAATGCATAAAACATGAAATGTGTGTTTTTTAGAGATCTACAACTTTCGTCTAAAACTTTTTTCGAAGTTTTTTGTTTTTTACGAGATAATCGAAAAAAACCATGATTTTATGGTGTTTTTTATGGTTTTTACCATGATAATTAAATTTCCGCCAATTTTCACTATGATTTTGGTAATCAGCGCACCAAATTACGTAGGGATACTAAGTTTTATTGAAATCGGAGGTATGTGCTATTCGGAACTATATCCAAAAGTTGCAATAAAAGTGAAAAATCAAGACTATTTCTTTTTTTCCAGATCTTCTCAAGAGGAATAAAGAAAGAGCGAGAGAAAGCAACAGAGGGAAAGAGAGAGACCAGGCAAGACATTCTGAAAAAGAGCAATCGCTGCTAAGACGCTCAGTTATCGCAGCACGTTCGTTAAAACGATATTACACGGATTTCTTGCTCGGCAAAAGCTCATGAATTAAGGAGAGAAAGAGAGAGAGAGAGAGAAAGCTTGCATTTTCCGCGAGAAAGAAAAAACGAAATATTCACTCAAAAAAAAAAGAAAAACGATAAAGAAAGCTCCGGTAATTAAATTTGTTTTAAAACAGAAATAATATTTCATAAGAAAAACTAATAAATTTCCAAAAAGCTAAAGTAAAAAAGTCAATTTTTTTTATTTGTAAATTTTACTTCCTTTTTAATTAAATATTTCTACTAAACAACTCTTACTACAACACTTATCCTTCGAAAATCACTCCCACTTGTAGGCGTCATTTTTAAAAACCACACCCACTGATGAGCGATTTCTTTGTTTCTCACTCCAACTAGTAGGCGTAAACTTGAAATAATAATCCCTCCAATGGGATTTGGGTTTGGCAATAATTCCCGCTAATGGGCGTTTCATTAGTAAACCACTCTCATTAATGGGCGTAAACTTTCTACTTAATAAAAAGTCACACTCACTGATGGGCGTTTCCTTTGTTAACTAGTAGGCGTAAACATGAAATAATAATCCCGCTAATGGGCGTTCCTTTCGTTAATCATTCCCGGCATGTGGGCGTAAACTTATGGCAATAATCCAAGTCAATGGGCGTTCCCTTCGTAAACCACTCCCACCAGTGGGCGTAAACATTCGACACTAAACCCGCTAATGGGCGTACATTTCGTAAACCACTCCCATCACTGGGCGTAAACATTTGATACTAATCCCCGCTAATGGGTGTTATAAACCACTCCTACAGGGGGCGTAAACTTTCTACTATATATAAACCACAACCACTAATGGGCGTTTCTATTGTTAACCACACCCTCTAGTAGGCGTAAACTTGAAATGATCCCGCTAATGGACGTTTCCTTCGTTAACCACTCCCACCAATGGGTGTAAACTTTCGGCACTAATTCCAGCTGATAGGCGTTTCCTTCGTAAACCACTCCTATTCTAAAGTCACTCCCATTATTGAGCGTGGCTTTTGGAAGACATGCCTATTTGTATAAATTTGTCTAAACTTCTATTCACTTCTAACGTGGGCGTAACTATTAGAAAGCCAGACTCACTATTAGGCGTGGCTTTTGGAATCCACGCCCCTGGCATAAATTTACCTTATATTCTATTACATGAAAAGAAGAGGAGTTTCTGAAACAAATTACCACTTTTGGGCATAACTTTTTGCAAAAAAAAGGCGGTTTTTTTGCCATTATAATTTAAAGTTTATCAAGAAATTGTTAGTTAGATTTAAGGACCAATTGTGGTTGAAGATTGAGTGTGAAATAGAAGAGATGATGTTTTAGAAAGGGGTTCTCTCTGTCTCTCTACGCTGAGAAAGGTAAGAGGCAATCGCAACGGACTCGTGGCGCGCAAAATAATCCTGAAAACTAATTTCAACATAGAGCCACGGCAAAGCAATGATATCCTGACAGAGAGAGAGGGGGGGGGTATTTCTCCTTCAGTAAGTGCAGAAGTAACTTTAAAGAGAGAAGGAGAGCAAAAGAGAGACAGAGAGAAAAGAAGGAAGTGCAAGGAAATATCTACAAGCATGTTGGGCAATTCCGGTTCTGGTGGTTAGCTTCAGGCTTCATTTTGGATTGGAGTGTATGTGAACTACTGCCAGGTTATATTACAAATTCTACCAGTGTGTATATGTGTGCAAGAGAAGAGACGTGATACGTGAAAGAAAATATAATATCAATTTCCTTGTATTTAATTTTCATTAAAATTTATGATTAAACAATCATAATTTTATGCTAATATATAATAAAATAAAAAATATGAATTTTCAAAAAACGTACTACAAAATCTTGGTAAAATTTTTAATTAAACGTTACCTTCCGTTTTTACTTTTTTTTTAATTATTCAAACACTATTTAAAATGCCCTTAAGTAATAAAAAAAAGTGAAACATTTTTTTTTATTTTGTTTACTGCAATTTCAAATATATTTGCGTTCACAAGATTTTTAATTTTGATTTATTTCATATACGCTCGCTAGAAAAATTGACGTAAACTTCCTATAAAAAAAAGAAGCAAAAAAGAAAATGTTTTACAACATGTAATATGCATATCATGAATGTACTTTAGTTTCATTTCCTTCATAAACCGCTAATTCACGATTATCAAAATGGATAATAAAAAATATTGTACGCAGCACAGTAGAGAAATTGATATTACATACCATTTTTCATCATAATGGATAATAATAATAATAATTTTTTTGCAAATTTCTTATTCATAAAATAATAAAAATTTGCATATTTTGTACGTCTTGCAAAAAATTATTTAAAGACATAAATATATAATAAATAATAATAATAATAATAATAAAAAATAAATTATTTTGAGAGAAATAAAAAAAGTATTGAGAGATTATTAAAAATAAATAAAAATGTCAAACGTTGTTGTTTTCTTTTTTTTTTTTTTTGCATGTCAGAAAATTTGTTAATTTATCAACTTTATAAACTCTTTATATGGATTAACGTAAGAAAAATGGGGAAAAATTTTGACCCACTTTTTTTTGCGCCCGGACACATGATTAATGTGAAAAAGCTTACAATTCGTAGAAAAAGCTGAAAAAACTTCTTCTTGTGTCATTAACGTTAATTATGAAAAGTTGAGAAATAGAAATACAATTTTTCCTCCATGAGTATGTTTTGTCATTTTTTTTTCATTACACATAAAGATGAATGTGAAAAGTTAAACTTTTTACAAAACTAAAATTATTATTTTCATTATTGGAAAAATTTTGCAATTGAGAATTGTTTTGTAAATTGAAAAAACAAATTATAAAACTACATGTACGTAACATCGAATAATAATTGTTAAATTATTATTATTATTATCGTTATTATTTTAAATTATTTTTTGAAAAAAATTAATAAAAAAAAATAATCAAATTTGTGAAATAATTCGATAACTACGAAGGAATTGTAACAATTTTTAAATACGAGGTTACGTTTAAATAATTTAAACTTTTATCATATCATTTGTTTTATTAAGAATCTTTGCATCTTTCAGTATTTACAGTCTGCGACATTTCTTTCTTTCTATTTTCATTCTGAGACATTTCTAATAATAATCAAAAGAACAAGGCGTGAGGTCATAAAAAAAATATACAGTCTGTAAAGTGAATTCAATCAGAAAATCGAAGGGTTTCTCTCTCTCTCTCATCTCTGTAAGATAAACGTGCGGCATGAATAAGGACTTGGAAGAAAATTACGAAGAAGAAGAATCTGATTTAGAAAAAGATATTCATATTTCTCGAGGTCACCGAGATGTACAAACTGATGATGAAATAGAATATGAATTTGATTTTGAAGAATATCAAGATGAGGAGGAGGAGGACGAAAATTGTGAATATGAAAATGAAGATGAATTTGAAAACAACAAAAAATTTGAAACAGGCAAATTTCGACGAGTTCATTTTTCACAAACGAATAAAATCATACAAATTGATAGATTGCCGGAAGAAACGAAAGGTTAGAAAAAAACATTTTTGAACGTAAAATTTTTCTTTAAAAAAAAAAATTGACAAAATCAAGTAAATAAAGTTTTTTTTAGTTGAATATCATTTTTTTTCCACAGATTTGAAAAAGGAAAAATCAACTGAAGAATTAAAGAACAAAAGAAAATCGATCTATAATCTAGATTCTTACAAATCTGAAGCAACTGTTTCTAAATTGAAAAAGGTGGATTCAGAGGAAATCAATAAGAGTGTTCGCTATTCCCATTCTACGGTTAACTACTTAATCATTTTTACACTTTTTAATTAACACTTTTGGTTTTTTTTTATTTTTAAATTCGTCAAAATAAAAATTATAAAATGACAATTAAAAAAAAATTTAGTGATTTTGAAAAACTGACAATGAGTAAAATAAAAATTCTCTAAAAAAAAAAAAGTAAATAAATAATTTCTTTTTTATTTTTCACTCACGAAATTGCAAATCACTTAATTTAATTAATTAATCAATCAATTCCCAATAGGGTATACCAGGCATCGCGAGAATTGATTTATCACCTTTGACACAAAAAATCGTTGGCTGTGTAATCGGTGAAAATGTCACTACCGAATATCCATGGATTTACATAAAAAAGGAATTAATTGAGGACAATATTGATCTTCATGATGAGAGCAGTGACTTTTTAGATGTTAAAGAAGAAATTGAAACTTTTCCTGATACAAAAATTTTAATTGGCTATGCACCATCGTCAATTATTGAGGATGGTCAATTTTATATTTGTCTCACTGAAGCTGGACGCGATTCTGTTATACGTCAAATTGAATTTCAAAGATTAAATCAAGAAAGTCGTGTTAAAAATGCCGTTCATAAAATTCCCAACGATTGGATTGAATTTGGTAGTAAAATTGAAGTTGACAATAATATTGTCAAATATAATAGACCACTTCTTCAAATTGAGGTTTTTAAAACAAACAAAACAATTTTAATTACTAAAAAAAAAAATTAATGGAGAATTAAAAACAAAATTTCTAATAAAAAATGGATAATTTGTCATCATTGTAAATAATTAATGAATTATTATCGTAAACTAGATGGAAATGAAGGGAAAATTAATGAAGAGACGTGTAATATTATCGAATCGTGATGTTGACGATCAAAGGGACGGTTACGTTAAACTAAATCCTTACCGTGAGTCCTTCGAAAATGTTTCAAAGCTTTTAAACGATACTGCTGTCCAAGTAACTCCAACTTTCATTGATAACGAAACTCAAACCGTAACTAAATTTCAAACGAATACATGGTCTCAGCACTCGATGGAATATTCTACATTTGATCATTTCAAACTTTCTGCGAGCAAATCTCAATCTCTAAACAAATTTCTCAAGAAACACGATCACTATATAACTAACGAGGTAATTAATTATTTACAAACAAATAAACCAACAAAAAAAAAAAGTGGAATTTCTGGTATAAGTTGAAAATTAAAAATTAACATAATTAATTATAACTTACTTAATATTTAATTCTCACTAAACTTAACCAAAAGACTGTAATTTTCCATCAACTAAAAGTCCCTTAATTGACTTGAATATTTCGAAAATTCTCCTAAATGCTCCTATATACATAGTATTACAACGCGAACCTTGTATAATGAAAAGCAATGGAAAACTAAGATTCCGAGTTACTTTACCTAAAAGTTTCCCTCTCATCTTATATAGGTATCGTTGTAATATCAATTTGGTTATTAAAATCTTCTTTACTCCTTTACCAGTGGAATGAGAAGTGGGGGAAATTTAATTACATTTACGATCCTCCAACTAGAGAAAATTCACCTCTCTCTCTCTCTTTTTTTTTCTCTCTCTCATGCTACCATCATAAACCGATATTGCCATAAAAGACGCGTATCTTTTTCGCAGAATTTGACGACCCGCAGTAAAAAGTACTGAAAAAACCATTTTCTTTTCAATCTTTTTTATTTTTTTTAACTTCAGGACTTTGTTTTAGTACCACGATTAATCAATCATCACTAATTCCATGACAATTGAAATTCAGTCAGTCTTTCATAAAAAAAAATTTTTTTTTTTATTTCACCGATAAAATGATGAAAAAAATTTTTTATGGACATAATGTCAAGTGAGATTACACCAAAAACTATTTCAATTATAATATAATAAAAATTGTAATATATATATAATTAAAATTAAATAAAATTAAATAAAAATTAATATGATTAATTTTAAATTTCGAAAATTTTGGTCCATTGTAGCTCGAATGCTGTTGGTATCAAAAAGTTTAAATTTTGAGAATATAAACTATCGGGCATAGCGGATAAATTACCCCTGATAGTGCTTTACAAAAAAAAAAAATATTTGAGGCACTTTTTGATAGGACCAACAGCATCCGAACTTAAATTAACAAAATAAAAGAATTAATTTTGAAAAAAAAATCCCTTCAGTTGGAAATTATTTTTCTTATATAAATATCTAAATTTAATTTGTAGATCAAACATATAAAGTTTTATTTTAAGTACCACGTGGCACAAGGGTTTTTATAAGTAAAGTCACGTGAAATCTGTAAATTCAAACTGACACTCTTCTTTTTTTTTTCTCTATCCCCTTTCTTTTTCTCACAATTGTAATAAAGTAAGAGCATAATAGATTTTTCCCGTGCTCTCATTTTGTCTGGGAAATTATCTTTCTCACCACGAAATACACCTTTTTTTTGTTCGACCCTTGTCATAATTTTCATAACGAAATACAAAAAAAAAGAACAAAAAATAAAATTTATAGTCAATCGTTTAAATTGACTACTGGTATAAATTTATATATATAAATATATACAGATGCTGTTGAATGCCACTTGGGACGTACACATCAATGATTATGTAAATCTCATTCATTCCAAGAAGAATAGTGAAACAATGATGACAGTTGCTTACAAGGAATATGGAAATTACTATGATGGTAAATTTTGTACGGATAAAGTAATTAATGATTTATGTTGGCATCCATTTTTAACTGGAATTGCCGTATGTGCTTATACGGATTTTGCCAAGAGTAGCAAATTTATTGGACCTAGAAATGATAATGAGGTAAACAATTCATTGAAAAAATACTACACAAAAGCTTTAAGAATAAAATGCAAATATTCTTCAATAAGAAGATATTCTTAAATTTAGAGTTTTTTTCGGTGATAATTTTTTTTTTCTACTAATTTTTAATTTACCCTACAGGTTCGAAATGTAACTGCAAAAAGTCATAAAACCCTATTATGGTCCTTCACCGATAATCTTCAACCAAAATTAATTTTTGATTCACCGCGAGAAATTTCTGCTGTCTCCATTTGTCCCTACGATGGAAATCTAATTATTGGCGGTTATGCTAATGGCCAAGTAAATAATGATTTTTATTTTCCAACCGAGTGCAAATTATATTATAAAAGAAAGTCGAGAAAAAAATACATTTTTTTATCGTCACACTTATCATAATATTATCACACGACTTTTACCTCCTTTCTTTCATCCCCTATTTTGGAATACGATTTACGAATAGGAACACCCCTTCTCAAACATTTATAAAAAAAATGTTGCAAGAAAAAAATATCAAACCAGAAACGATTTTAATTAGTATTTTTAGATGAAAATGGAATGTTCCACTCGAAGAATCCAGGAACGTCAATGGAATATTCCAAATGAATGTTCCACTCGAATATTTCAGGAACATGAATGCAATAATCCAAAGGAATGTTCCACTCGAATATTACAGGGACATGAATGGAATATTCCAAATGAATGTTCCACACGAATATTCCAGGAATGTGAATGAAATGTTACAAAGAAATGTTCCACTCGAATATTCCAGAAACGTGAATTGAATATTCCAAAAGAATGTTCTACTCGAATATTTCAGGAACGTGAATGCAATAATCCAAAAGAATGTTTCACTCGAATATTACAGGGACATGAATGGAATATTCCAAATGAATGTTCCACACGAATATTCCAGGAACGTGAATGAAATGTTCCACTCGAATATTACAGAAACGTGAATGGAATATTCCAAAAGAATGTTCTACTCAAATATTTCCTGAACGTGAATGGAATATTCCAAATAATATTTGTAATATTCCACAAACACTTTATTTGAAAAAACGCAAAATTTTAGATAAATTATTTTCCCTCCTATTTTTTTTTTAAAGATCGTTCTTTGGCACATTCCTGATCTATTGGAAAAATTGGAATCAACCGAAGTGTATACAACATCACAAATGAGACATAAAGCACTCATGAAAAGTTTAATGTCCTGGATGAAAGGTGTGAGAGGATCATCGGATATTGAGATCACGGCAACATCCGCTTTGCAAGCGAGTCAAAAAGGTCGAATTACCCAAATTGCGTGGGTGCCGTGTTATAATAAAATTGGCAAAGATGGAAAAATCATTAGTTTACCGGCGGATACGCCACCCACAGATTTGAGCTGTCAATTCATCACTTCCAGTGAGGATGGAACTGTTGCTTTTTGGGATTTAAAGTCAGATGAATTTTAATTCTTTCTTTTTTTTTTTATTATTAGATTAATGTTTTCATAACATTATTTAATGTTATTCAATAGATTAGAAAAAATATTTGAAAAAAGAAAGCATTTAAATATAAAACGAGACAAATCAAAAATACCAAAACCAGATATTTTACTTCAAGTAATTTCACCCTATAAGGAATTGGATGGTATTTGGCATCCAGATTATATAATAAATATTATTCATCCCGAATTTGGACGTCGTTTAATTATAACAACAATGAATATATATTTCCCAAAAATTCATAAAGAACAAACAAATTATAATTCAAATCAAGAGAATGACATTTTATTTAGAAAATGTTTTAAAAATATTATGAAGAAACCAATATACGACATGGAAGCAAAAATTTTTATTGGTATATTATGAATATTCCATTCAATATTCCATATAATATTCCATATAATATTCCATATAATATTCCATACAATATTCCATACAATATTCCATACAATATTCCATACAATATTCCATACAATATTCCATACAATATTTCATATAATATTCCATATAATATTCCTAAGGATCAGCCACAGGACATTGCGGAGTCATAACGTGGGAGGGTTATAATTTTTCAACTGGTCAATTAATAAATCGAGAAACATGTCAATGGAATTGGATAAATATTATTCACGATGGTCCAATTACTCATGCTGTAAGATCATCATTTATCTCTGATTTAATATTGACTGTTGGTGGAAAAATTTTTGCATTATGGAAAGAAAATTTTCGCCGACCATTCTTTTGGAATAGATCGCAATATAGGTACAATTATATTTTAAAAATAATAATTATTTGTCTTTTTTTTAAATTAATTTAAATAATTTTCAAATTAAAAACAATTACATTAAATTATTATTAATAATATATTATTAATAAATTGATATATAATTAAACAAAGAATAGAAAAGAAATATTAAATTATCGATTGCAAATATGTAAAATAAAATATTCATGATAAAATTATAATTTAATAGATTTTAAATACATTAATATTTATGAAACTTTCATTGTTTATAAACGGAAATCATTTAAGTTCAATATTTTCATTATTGAATTATGATTTAACAATGGCATTAAATCTACATTTGCGCAGTCAAGTATGTAATGTTATAATAGCATTGACTCAAATCCCCCGAAAGGGTTTTAGCTTAATAATAGCATAATAATAACAACAATAATAATAATATTAATAATAATAGAAGTAATAATTGTAATATAATTCGTACAAAATACATTCAAATAATTTACAATAATTTCAGCTGCTCCATTACAATTTGCAAACATTAATTTCTTTTTATAATTCACTTTCGTATTTGCAATATTAATAATAAATTAAATAAATAATATTCTAAATATAAAATATTCGTAATGTTCTAAGGGAATATCTTAATGAAATATTTATAGGAATATTCTACTAATGGAATATTTAGTAATATCCTAATGAAATATTTATAAGAATATTCTGCTAATGGAATATTCAGTAATATTCTAATTAAGTATTTAGGAATATTCTACTAGTATATTAGGAATATCTTAATGAAATATTATTATATTCACAAGGAAAATTCCAAGAGTGATTCCATCATATTATTTTCGGAATATGAATGAAATATTCCTTAGAAATACTTTTAATATTCCAATGGAATATCATAGGAATATTAATGGAATTATTCTAAGGAATAATTCCAACGAAATGGAATAATTTAGGAACACCTATGGAACATTCTCTATAGGAATATATATATATGAAATATTCCTTAAAAAATATTCCAAAAAGTAAAAATATGTATAATTAATTTTTTTCTAATTTCTTTAGATATACAGCATGTGCCTGGGGGATTTATCGACCTACAATATTAGTTGTATCACGTTCAGATGGAACAATTGAAATTTGGAATTTTACAACAAAAAGTATGGAAGCGAGTGTTATGCAAAATTTATCAGGTGGTGTTCTTACGGGAATTTATAATCACGAATTACCTCTAAATCCTCAGTGCACTGCTTTTTGTGATTATAATGGCGCATTGAGATTATTTTTATCACCACCGATAATATCTGATTATGAGAATGATATTAAATGGATGGAAATTTTCATTAGACGAACATTGAAGGGAGTTAGTGTCAATCAAAATTATATCTAATTATTTTATTAACTTTTCTTTAAAATAATAAGAATAATTACTTTAATTATTACTATATTACAAATTGAGAAAACAAAATTTAATTTTCTTAAAAAAATCAATAATTAAGCTCAAAAAGGTTTTCTCATAAATTGCAATTGATTAATTATTTGTCTAATGAATGATTTTTTTAAAAGAACATGTTTTTTCGAGTTTAAAATACAATAAAATCGAATAAACATTGATCTTTGTAGTAAGGAAAATTAAATTTACTCTCATTAAATTAAAAGAAGACGTTCTTAATGAAAAGAAATTGAAATTTTTTTTCTTTTTAATGTGAAATTCTCAAATAGAAAAAAAATATCTTTCTATAAAATTACAATTTATCTCAAATGGGTTAAATTTAGTCGTTTTAGAATTTTAGCACCATCTATGCTTTTTACTGAAACAGGAATGTACTTGAAATCTTGGTGGTCGGTAGAAAGGAATTTTCAAATTTATTCCAGTAAATGTAGTCGAGGGATTTTACTGGAAATTACAAATTCCATTGCTTTCTTTTTTCTTTTGCTTTTAATCAAAAATTATTTATCAAATTATTTAACATTAAGCGAATTTGTCAAAACAAAAAAAAATATATTAAAATAATTATATTTTTATATTTGAAAATTTATTCTTTTGTTAATAATTAATATTTCCGACAACAACAAAAAAATAGATAAATGATTTTCAAGAATGGCAAAAAAATTGGAGTGCATCTAATGTTGAAACTATAGAAGAAAAGAAAAAACTATCAGACCTTGAGAATGAAAAAAGAATTAAAGAAGTAGAAGAAGAAAATGCCAGAGAAATTCAAGAAACATCAAAAACCAATAATTTACCAAAAGTAATTGAAAATATTTAATTTAATACTATTACTGCAATATTCCATTGAAATATAAAAATATTCCGTTATATTACAAATATTCTGTTGTAATATTATGAATATTACATTGGAATATTAGGAATATTACAACAGAATATTAGATATATTCTCCTGTAATATTAGGAATTTTATATTGGAATATTAAGAATATTCCGAGGGAATATTCCATCCATATTCCAAGAATATTAAAATGTCCAACTTTGGAATATTTTAGGAATATTTCTTAATATTGTCGGAATATTAAAATGTAATATTATGTAAGTATTCTATTAGAATTATGTGATATAATTCATTTTCTAATATTCCAATGGAATTTTCCTGAAATATTCCAAAGATTAATTATAACAAAAAAATTTTTTTAATTTAATAAAATTTACAATACTTTACAGACACAACAGTCAATGAATTTTATTGAAGTTGCACGAATGCGTTGGATGTCAATGGAATTAAAACGAATGCAAAATATTATTCTTGAGAAAAAAGGTTTAAAAAAGAATGAATTAGAAAGACGTTGTGCACCTATTTTAAAAATGAGACAAGAAGTAGACGCAAAAAAACGTAAACTCCGTAAAATTATACAACTTCAAGATAAAATTTTCGAGGACACGACTGCTTTTCTTTTTCCTAAACAGTATTACGAACAACACCAAAGAAAAGTTTCTACTACCACCACCAACACAATCGCCGCCACGTTTGTCCCTGAAGAAAAACCTACGCCAACTTCGACAAAACTTGAAACTTCTCAAGAGGTATTTTAAAAGATCAGAGAGAATTTTTGTAATTTAACAAAGTTTACAGATAAGAACAAAACTTGTAACCTTGTAAATTTAAAGGTGTAGGAAGGAGAGAAAGAAAAAAGAAACAAGGCACAAAATTTTCTATCGCTAGTTGGGCCAAAAAAAAAGAATTTGATACTTTAAATTAAAAATAATATTTCCCTTATTGTCTTCAAAAAATGTATGAGACACTTTTTGATTGGTCCAGTGGATGCTGAGCTAGGTCAAAATGTAATTTGTGATTTTTTTGGTATTTCAAATCAATCGCTCTGAAAATAATGCCAAAGTCTTAACCCGGAAGTTGTCTTCAAAAAATGTATGAGGCACTTTTTGATTGGTCCAGCGGATGCTGAGCTAGGTCAAAATGTAATTTGTGATTTTTTGATATTTCAAATCAATCGCTCTGAAAATAATGCCAAAATCTTAACCCGTAAGTTGTCTACAAAAAATGTATGGAGAACTTTTCGATTGGTCCAGCGGATGCTGAGCTACACTCAAAAATATTTTGGAAAAAATTTCGAAAAAATAAATTTGCGAGATAATCGATTTCGAATACCATCAAAGTAGTTAGAAGAAAGTTCTGAACAAAAAATGTATAGCGCACTTTTTGATTGGTCCAGCGGATGCTGAGCTGCAGTGAAAATAAATTCGGAAAAAATTTCGAAAAAATAAATTTGTGAGATAATCGATTCGGAATACCACCAATAAAATAGGGAAATAGTTTCGAACAAAAAATGTATGGCGCACTTTTTGATTGGTCCAGCGGATGCTGAGCTACACTCAAAAATATTTTGGAAAAATTTTCGAAAAAATTGATTTGCGAGATAAGCGATTCGGAATACCACCAATAAAATAGGGAAATAGTTTCGAACAAAAAATGTATGGCGCACTTTTTGATTGGTCCAGCGGATGCTGAGCTACACTCAAAAATATTTTGGAAAAATTTTCGAAAAAATTGATTTGCGAGATAAGCGATTCGGAATACCACCAAAGTATTTAGAAGAAAGTTCTGAACAAAAAATGTATGGCGCACTTTTTGATTGGTCCAGCGGATGCTGAGCTACAGTGAAAATAAATTCGGAAAAAATTTCGAAAAAATAAATTTGCGAGATAATCGATTCGGAATACCACCAAAGTAGTTAGAAGAAAGTTCTGAACCAAAAATGTATGGCGCACTTTTTGATTGGTCCAGCGGATGCTGAGCTAGGTCAAAATGTAATTTGTGATTTTTTGATATTTCAAATCAATCGCTCTGAAAATAATGCCAAAATCTTAACCCGTAAGTTGTCTACAAAAAATGTATGGGGCACTTTTTGATTGGTCCAGCGGATGCTGAGCTAGGTCAAAATGTAATTTGTGATTTTTTGATATTTCAAATCAATCGCTCTGAAAATAATGCCAAAGTCTTAACCCGGAAGTTGTCTTCAAAAAATGTATGAGGCACTTTTTGATTGGTCCAGCGGATGCTGAGCTAGGTCTAAATGAAATTTGTGATTTTTTTAAAATTTTCGAGATAATCATTCGGGAATATCGCCAAAGTCTAAAACCGGGAGTTATGAGAAAAAGAAGATGTAAATTTTCTTAATTAATGCTCCTCTTTTTTTGGGTCATTCTACTGACAATTTCTGGGGACAAGATAAGGAAAGGAAACCGTACGGAGATAAGTTTAATATTGGGAAAGTCATCGTCGTCAAATATAATTGAACCAGTTTCTAGTCGCTTTAATCTCGACAAATCGTTACATTCCACATCTTACTCGGGGGGGAATGGGATTTATTGTCAAAGTTCTCTTTCTCTCTCTACCTCTCTGTCTCTCTGTCTCTCTCTAGCCGTAGTTACTCAAGGTCCCATTATTTTCTTGTAGATACAATTCAACAGTCCAGAGGAGGAGATTATCTACAACTTCATGGAAGTTCAAGCGGAAGCTTTATCCTCAATGCTACGAGGACGTCCACACAAGTACGCATTCCAGTGGCGAAATACTCTGTCAGAGGGTAAGGCAAGAAGAAATTCCATGGATGTTGATCTCGAAAAATTCAATAAATCAAAGAAAGCAGGAATCACATCAACTGATGAAGAATACAGTATAAGTGATTTGACTCGTAGTATCAGTTCTTCAAGCAATTTTTTCTCACAGGAAAGTGAAATAGACATTGATGATGACTGATTTGTGAGATTAAATCCAATAATTTATGGGAAATTATAATTTTTTAATTCACTCAAAAATATGAAGATGTGGAATATTTCAATTCGTTATCAATAAAAATATTTTTAAATTTAAAAACGTAATTGGAATATTCCAAGAATATTCCTTAGGAATAACCCTACTAGAATATAATTCAAGAATATTAAATAAAAAATATTTACAAAATTAAAAATATTATTGGAATATTTCAAAAATATTTCTTAGTAATAATCGTAGAATATTATTCATGAATATTCATAGAATATTGTTGGAATATTTAGATGAATGTTGCTAAATATAATTTCCCGAGATTTAAAAATTATATAACTTTTTTCTTGTAAAAAAGGAAGTCAATGTAATATTTTTCAAATTTTAAATAGAAAAACCAATCGCACATAATTATTTATTTATAGAAAAAATATTTATCTCCTACCTTAGTCAGCAACCGATTTATCTCCGAATTTTGGACGATATGATGCAACAGGAAACACACGCGATTTAGAATATTTTGAACAATCCTGAAACAATAATTAATTTAAAATTAATTATAAGACACAAAAATACTTTTTTTTAATATTTAAACGATCGCGATTTAAAAATTTTCGAACACTCCCGTAATTATTCATTATATAAAAAAACTAAAAGACAATAAAGAAAATATTGTATTAAAAACGGAAAAATTTTGATTTTCTAATTATTAAAATTAACAACAGAGCACGCGTCTAAACAGGTCAATGCACGAATTGAAACTAAATGAATTACCTTTGTTATTTTCCCATTGTTATGATTTTTGACCTGAGATTAAACAATTGTATTTCAATGTAAACAAACCGTTTGGGATACAATATAAAATTCCAAATTGCTTCGAAATTATTTTATAAATACCTCGAAAATAAAATATTTAAATTTAAATAATGGAATAAATTTTTGTAATATTGTGGGAATATTCAAATGGAATATTTTGAAAATATTCCATTAGAATTATGTGAGATACTTATTTTCACATATTCCAAAAAAACATTCCAAATGTTATACATTTTAATATTCCTTGAATATTCCTAAAAACTACTTAGGAATTGTTTCTATGTAAATATTATTCCATTCACATTCCTTAAATATTCCATAGGAACATTAATATTTTTTCCACATTCCATAAACACAAAAATTTCCCATCTCTGATATGTTTTGTTGCAAATATTTTTGGAATTATTAGTCAATATTAAAAATTTTAATATGCCTAGAATATAGAAGGAATATTTTTTAGGAATATTTCCAGAAATGTATAATGGAATATATATATTGGAATATATTTATTAATGGAATATTCCATTATTATGGAAATATTTTCCAAAATATTCCTTGAATATTATTTTTCGTATATTTCCAAACTTCCAATGAAATATTCCGGGAATGTGAATGGAATATTCCATTAGATTTTGAAAATACTTTCAGGAATATTTTCTATTTTGTTATTTAAAGTACTTTTCATTAAAAAATAGTTCAAAAAAGAAATAAATATTCAACAACCTAAATAAATATTTTAATTTAAAAAAAGAAAGACGAATTTGAAAAAAAAACATTAAAAACAACAATGTGTAAATGAGGTTTGAATTTGTTTAAATATTTAATTTAATCGAGGATCTGAAACGTATAACTCAGTGTGCTCAAAGGGTTTTCGCGTAATGATATAAAACTTTAAAAGCAAAGAGTAGAAATTCGTTTTCGGTCTCTCTTTCTCTCTGTCTTTCTTTCTTTCTTTCTTTCTTTCTCATTCTAAATGTACGCTCGACGGACCTTTCTAGGGCGAGAACCTTTTTCATCTCACCTCCCCCTCATGGAAACCCTGATTCTATCTTTACCACTTTCCAGAATACAGAGGGCAGTGCCAAGATGAGACGAGGTCAGGAGTTTAGCAAGGATCGATGGAATAGTGGAACGAGACCAAACCTGTAATACGTCATGGTGAGAAAGTAGCTCGAGAAAATGAAAGAGATGAGAAAATGTGACAATGTCTAGAGAGAGCGTATACCAAAAATTATTATTGTTATTATTTTATTTTTAATCTTTTTTATTATTATTATTATTGTATTATTATTTTTTCTATTATTATTGAATCGCAATTTTTAATTAACAAAAAATATTATTGGAATATCTTACACAAAATAATGCAGAAATTCTACTAGGAATATTTCAAATCTTGGAATGTCTTTTCCATTAAAGACCTTCCAAAAACATTCCAAGGGATATTCCAAATATTGAAATTTCTTTTTATTTAAACACGTTCCAAAAATTTTTTAAGTAATATTCCAAATCTTGGTATTACTTCTTTTTCTAAGAACCTTCCAAAACATTCCAAAGGATATTACAAATTTTGGAATTATGCTCCAATAACAAGTAATACATTTACGTTCATAAAAAATTCCTCAAAATGTGTCTTAAGATAATTCAAACATTTCCCACTAATATTTCTACAATATTCCCCAATGAATTCCAATGGAATATTCTTTTTAAAAAATTCCTACAATTTCCAATATTCCCAAGGAATATTTCAGGAATTTAAATGGAATATTCCTTCACAAAATTCCAAAGGAATATTTTAGGAATGTAAATGGAATGATCCTTTAAAATATTCCCAATATTCCAAGGGAATATTTTAGGAATGTAAATGGAATATTCCTTCCAAATATTCCCGGAATGCAAATTAAATATTCCATAGGAAGGGGAATTTTTTTTTAAAGGAAAATTCCATAGGATTTCGCTGGAATTTTGTTGTTTGCACCTCTGTTTAAAAAGCCATTGCAAAAAAAATTTAAATTTCATTTCAAATAGAAAACGAAATTTCTTAACGGACTTTCACACAAAGTGTCTATGTGTATGTATATATAAATACATACACAATGGATTGTCAGATATAAAAATGATAAAAAACCATGAAAATTCTTTAGTAAAGCGGATTAAAGCTGTGCGCGAAGCTGGCGTAAATGAATTTTAATTTTCAAACTACTCACCTGCCTTCTGGGTTTTTCTACACGCGGTACTATACATATATATATATATACCCACACCATTGCGTCTCTTCTCGAACCCCGGGACACACCCCTTTAACCCTCAACTACCTCTTCACAAATATGGACTTTTTTTTCTTTTTTTTTCTTCTTTTTTTTCTTTCTTTTTTTTTTTTGTTCGTGGCCGACGGAAAAGGCGACAAGGGAACGCGCACACGTTATATTCGCCAAAGAGCTTGTCTTCTGGCGTTTATTTCCCCAGAGCAACATATTCTCGCCAGATTTCATCCGGTTCCTCGTCTCCTCGCGTCTACTATATCCTCTGACGTTCTTCACGAATGAGAGGGTAAAAAAAACTTATGCTCGCGAACATCAACGATCATATAAATGTGATAAATATACAAATTTTACTAAGGTCATTTTGTAAACTATTAACTTGACTTCAAGTGTTTTTCTAAAAAAAAAATACTCTTTTCAATAGCAAGGAATATCACATTCACTTTCCTGGAATATTTCATTACAATATTTTAAATATTCTATCCATATTTCGTGGAATATTAAAATATCTGACCTTTGGAAGGTTGCTTTGGAATATTGTTGGAATGTTCTACTGGAGCAATGTATGAATATTCAAATGGAATGTGGTAATATTCAATTGGAATATTATAGAAATATCTGTCTGGAATAATTTGTAAATATACAAATGGAATGTTGTAGGAATATTCTATTGGAAAATTGAAGGAATATCCAATTGGAATAATGTGTAAATATTCAAATGGAATGTAGAAATATCCCATTGTAATATTGAAGGAATATCCCATTGGAATAATATGTAAATATTATAATGGAATACAGGAATATTCCATTGGAATAATATGTAAATATTTAAATATGACGTTGGAATGTTCTATTGGAATTATGTTCTAATTCCATTGACATATTTCCAGTATTCCAATGAAATATTCCAAGAATTTAAATTGAATATTTCGTGAATGTATATAAAAATAAACGAATTGATATTTTACTAAAAAAATCATATTAGATTCATTTATTTTTAAAATTTTAACAATAAATTTTTTCTTAAAAAATATAATGTAGCGAAAAATGCATATTAACGAAAATGAATTTTACTTAATTAAATATTAATAAGACGATTTATTAATATTTATATATCTATGATTAGCCGAATGTTGCAGTACACTGTTTGTATGGTGTTTCATATGCTGGATCTAAGGGAGCAAAACATCCAAATCCACCATGACGATGAATTCGAGCATAATCATCACAATCAATTTTACCATCGCCATTGCAGTCCTTAAAAAATAAACAATTTAAAAGTTATTAAAATTATTAAATTAATAATTATTTAATTATTAATTATTACAATTATAACAGTAACAATAAATTAATAATAATAGTAATAATAAATATTTTTGTACTATTATTATTATTTGTATTATTATTTATAGAAATGAATAATAATTAATTTTATTTTATAAATAATATGAAGATTGGCGCATACTTGTCCATATTTAGCCATGTAACCTTGAACTGCTTGAGCGGCACAGAAAACGTCGTTGACACAATTTGCGAAAGCTGTAATCAAGTATTTATTAATTAAAAAAAGAATTTTAATAAAAAAAAAGTTATTTTTTCACACTGTTAAATTAAATTTATATTTAAGATTAATTTTAAAGAAAATTGTAGGAATATTTCTGTAAAATACTAAAGGAATATTTTGCAAGAATATTTTAAAAATATTCTAGAAATAATTTTTGAAAAAATTATTTAAATAAATTCGTCGTGATAGAATATTTTTTCAAAAATAAACTCTTGGAATATTTGTCGAGAATATTCTTGAAATATTCCTTGGAATATTACAGTAAAATATTCCAAGGAATATTTTACTGTAGAATATTCTTTGGAATATTATTGTAAAATATTCTTTGGAATATTACAGTAGAATATTCTTGGAAAATTTATTAATAATAAAATTTGTAAATTAAGAAAAAAAAAAGGAAGAGAAAAAAAAATTAAATTACCTTCTCCCGTGCTAGGTGATTCGTTGTTGAATGTCGGTTTTCCAGAATCAATCCAATAGGCCCGAGTTATTCGAAAAGGCCCACAAACTTCTCCATCACATTTGAGAGTTGTATTACAATTAGACGATGCTTCACAAATACATCCTAGACAAACCTGAGAAACAGGTTCTGCAGTAGGTTTCGATGGTTGCACTTGGCCTTTAATAATAAAAAAAATTTATTTGTTTGTTTAATACAATTTTGTTATATGTAATTTAAAAAAATACTTTCTTTTATCATATTAACAAATTATAATTTACAAAAAAATTAAATTAATAATTATTTAGTTTTTTATAATGAAAAATTGAAAACAGAGTGTTCTGGTTTAAAAAAAAAAATTATTCATTTACTTTTCTCTAGAGAAAGAGATATTGAAATACAATTTATTAAAGTGAGATATAATTTTTAATTTAAAATTCCGTTCAACTATAAAAACAACCGTCTCAAAAATTATAATACAAACTTGGAATTCATTATCTTTATAATATATAAAAATGAATTGGCTACGAAAACAAAATTTATAAGGAAATGTTAGACGTGACTACAATTTTAATCTTTCACTTTTTAGAATCATTTAATTTATATCATATATTTTTCAATATAGTAAGCATATTTTTATAAACAATCAAATTAATATTCCTGGAATATTTCATTGACAAATAAAATTTTTCATTTGGAATATTGTGGGAAGATTTATTTGGAATATAAATTAGGAATATTGCAGGAATTTTTATTTGGAATATTATAGAATTTTTTATTTGAAATATTGTAGGAATATTTATTTGGAATATAGTAGAAATATTAATTAGGAATATTGTAGAAATTTTTGTTTGGTTAATGTATGTAAAATATTCCAGTAATATTAATAGAATATTTTGTACTTTTGATGAAAAAAAAAATTAACTCAACAATTTTTTAGCATGAAAATAACAAAATACTCGCCCCACCCAAAAAAAAGTTGAATCTCATTTGCTTTTTTTTTTTATTTTTTTAGAAGATAAAAATTTAAATTAGAGAATGAAAAGAATGCAATTTTTTTTTGTTGGTCTTTAACAAAATTTGTTGTCCTTGAACTTGGCACAAGAACGCAAGTTGTGAATAGTGATCAAAATAGCAACAAACATCATCGAAACCGGATTCTTATCAGTAAATGATCACTGCACTATAATAAAAATGCAGAATTTTCAAATATATCGTGTAATGCATCCGGTCGATGAGACTTGTTTTGAATTAAAAAAAAAAAAAATGCTTTTTACACACATGACAAGTGATGGACAGCATTTCAATTTATTATTCATTGTTTATCTCAATTTATTGCTGGCTTTCTTAAATTCCTAATCTACACTGTTTATCAGTAATTATGATGTTAATTATTTACGGTTTTTTTCTACTTCTTCTTCATAATAAATATACATAGTTTTTAGCTATAAATTCAAACAAAATATAAATAAATTTTTTTTATTTGCATTATTTTATAGAAAATTAATGTTATAAAATTTTATTTTCTACTTTTCTGACCAATAAAAAAAACTTTTGCTTTACTTGAAAAAAATTTAATTAATTCAAAAGTAAATAAACCCCAATTATTTATTAAGTTAATTTTTTTTTAAAGTGAAAGATTTAAAATTATATTTCTTTAATATGTATATATATAATTATTGGATAATTATCTTTATACTTTGTTTAATAATATAGCGATAATAATTTATGTTTTTTTAAATAAAAAAAAATTATAATGTTATTATAATGATTAGTCATAAAAAATTCTGTGAATCAATAAAAAAAATAAAAGTTATGAAATCTTCATGTAAAATTTTTTCAAGGTAAGAAAAACATATAAGGAGACAATCCGAAGGTGTTATAATTCATGCATACAGTTATTTATATGTATATAAATATATATATAACAGTATTCAATTTAAATTTAATTATATAGAATATATTATAAATTTATTTCTGATTGAGAATCTCTTAAATAAATTGAAAGTAAATAATTTTTCATTATGGTAATTATTTAATAAATTTAATTATTTAATAAAAAATTTAAGTTTTGAAATATTCCAATTTAATTATTATTATTATTTTTCTTTCAATAATAAAGATAAATATTATTTTAAATTGAATTCTACAACTTTTCTTTGATATTTATATTCGTTTCACTATATTTGTTTCAATAATTAAGAAAACTGAACTTGAAAGTGAATCTTAAGAGACACGGTTTCGTTGAGGGCTTTGTAAACTTAAATTGAAAAATTGGATTAAATTTTATTAAAACTTATAATGAAACGTATTATAATAATATAAGAGAAAAAAAAATTAAATGAAAGAAGAGAATGGATTAAAAATTTTTTTTTTAAAAAAATTGCATTATATGTAGATTTTTACACAAAAGATTTTTTTAATTACCAAGAGTCATGAGAGCATTCACGTAAGAGAATTGTAATTGTGCGTATAGCCTTGACCGTCATAACTCTCTTTCTATGTATATATATATATATATATTTATATGTATAACTAATAAAAACATTCAAGGATCCTTAATTTTTTTAATTACACGGTTTAAGATAAAAAAATTTTTATTATTTTTTAATTTAAATTTTAAATAAACGAAAAATTAACTACTAACGTTTCATGAAAAATTATATCTCCTTTGTTTTCAATTTTCATTTTAAAAATTATTCTCATTGTTCTACACTCTATTTTTTTTATTGATTGTTTATTTATTATTTTTTACATTAGTTATTTTAAAAAATTTTTAAATTAATTTTTAGTTACTTTTAATTTTTAATTAATTGTTAATTATTATTAATTATTTTTATTACTTATAATTAATATTTTTTATTAATTATTATTATCAACTATTTTCATTAATTATTATTATTATTATTAATAATAATAATAATTATTATTATTATTTATTTTTTAGTTGTCTAAAAATGGTTATTATTACAACCCTATACAATAATTAACTTTCGGATACATTGTCTTGAGGTTTGTAATTATATTTTACAAAAGAATATCAAATTACTTACCGTAAACAAAGGGAACAAAAATGCACAAACACAATGTTAAAAAACGTAAAGTATCCATGTTTCACAATCAAGAAAAACAATAACGAACCGGGTTTTTTTTTTTAATTTTTTTTTTGTTTTATGCTAAAATATACTAATTACGAATCGTGTGCCTCGATTTGTACTCATCGATGGAAGTCGAGGCTGGACCTTTATATACATACGTGGTCTCAATGTCGAGGTACCGACCGAATAAGTGGGGAGTTCAAGAACATGTTCAGTGTGTGAATCACATACATAAAACTCACAAAGATCACTATATTTGTATTGGAATTTTGTTTTTTTTTTATATACTATATAGGAAAAAATAATGAATGATCAAATTTAGAAATTCCTATATACGATCATTCTTAACGGGAATCTAATATCTAAAAATATGCATCTTGTTTCAGTTTAAAGAAAAAAGTAAAAAAAAAATCATTCTTTTTTTTATGAAAGAGGATCTTCCTTTGTAAGATTCTGTGAAAATAGAATAATACTAAATTTTCGCAGAAATTTTAGCTAATGGATATTTTAAAAACACTTTTGTAAACAAATTTTTTTTATAATCACGTTCTGGAAATATTCCATTGCAACATTCCTTTGAAATATTCCCTTCACATTCTAAGAATTTTTCAGGAATATTTAACAGGAATGTTGAAAAAATATTCTATTAGAATATTACATTAATATAACATTAAAATATTAGAAAAATACTCCAATGAAATAATCCTATAATATTCTTAAAATATTCCAATAGAAAATTTGCATATTATTTCTAAAAATTCCCAATGAATTATTCCCACAATATAAGTAATTCAAATATTCCTACAATATTTTTCAATAGAATATTCATACAATATTCCTAAAATATTCCACACTCGATTATTCCTAAAATATTCCATTATAATGTTCATACAATATCTGAAAATACTACAATAAATTATTCCTAAAATATTCCTACAATATTCCAAAGGAATGTTTATACAATATTTCAAAAATATTCCAATCAATAATTCCTAAAATATTCCTATAATATTACAAGAGAATATTTCTATAACATTTCTAAAAATTCCGGTTGGATAATTCCTACAATATTCTCAATATATTCCTAAAATATTCCAATCGATTATTCTTAAAAGATTTATACAATATTCCTAAAATATTTTTACAAAAATTTCCGTTGGATTATTCCTAAAATATTCCAATTGAATATTAATAAAATATTCTAAAATACTCCAATCGATTATTCCTATAATATTCCTACAATATGACTAAAATATTACTAAAATATTCCAATCGATTATTCCTAAAGTATTCCTACAATATTCCAAAGGAATTTTCATACAATATTTCAAAAATATTTCAATCAATAATTCCTAAAATATTCCTATAATATTACAATAGAATATTTCTATATAACATTTCTAAAAATGTCCGTTGGATTATTCCTACAATATTCTCAATATACTCCTAAAATATTCCAATCGATTATTCTTAAAATATTTATATAATATTCCTAAAATATTTCTACAATATTCCTAAAATATTTCTACAAAATTCCAATAGAATATTTATAAAAGTTTCCGTTGAATTATTCAAAAAAAATACCAATAAAATATTAATAAAATATTCCAATCGATTATTCCCATAATATTCCTACAATATGCCCACAATATTACTAAAATATTCCAATCGATTATTCCTAAAGTATTCCTACAATATTCCTAAGATATTACTAAAATATTTCAAATCTACGTTTGAAGTTTGGACATTTTAATATTCCGGGAATAGAAATGGAATATTTCGAAGGAATGTTTGATAATGGAATATTCCAAGCTATTGGGATTAATAGTATGAGATTTTGGAGATGGCAAAAATCATTTTTCGCGAATGAGAATAGAATATATTTCGCATATATTGAAATCTGTTCACTCTAAAACTTTCTTATGCAGATTTGTCAAAAAGTGTCCGTCTATATACATATATCAAGTTGAAATCTTGAAATCCTAACAGACAAGAGTAAAAAAAGTGAATGAGTGAGAGTAACAGAGAGAAGGAGATACGTATGCGGAGGAGGTGAAGTGAACATGTGGTTACGACACGTCTGGGATCTTCAAAGATTTATCTTCCTAATGCGGGACCACCACGGCCGGCATATGCCAATAAACGAAGAAAGTTTGGTCATCGAGGACAGACGGAAAATCCAGATTGAACGAAGAGAGGATGAGAGAGAGAAATAGAGAAGAGTGTTTGTATATGTATGTATGTATGTGTGTGCAAGGGATAGAAAGATACGTAACAGAATCTGGAAACCTGTGAGGAGGTTTGAAACTTGGGCAATAATGCGTCCAAGTCAGTTCCAGCAGGTCGCGGATAGTTCGCGAAACTCGTATCGTTTCCACACGTATATACCTCGTTTCCAGTAATTCTTCAATTTACTTATTAACTTGTTTTTATACTTTGCGCACTTATTTTTCTTTTTATTTTCTATCAAAATGTTTCCTTTTCTTTTTATAACCCAACAGAACAAATTATTTCATTTCAATTCGTGGAATATTAGAAATATTTCAAAAGGAAATTTCTATTGAAACATAAAGAATATTCCAAAAATATTAAAATATCGAATCTTTAAAACGTTTATATGGAATATTATATATATTTGGAATATTTTTGAAATATTCCATTAAAAACATTCTAGAGATATTAAAGAAATATTCCATTGGAATATTGTATATATCTTTAAAATATTATAGAGATATTCCATTAAAACATTGCAGAGATATTAAAGAAATATTATATTGGAATGTATATATGGAATATTATAGAGATATTCTATTAAAACATTGTAGGGATATTGTTGGGATATTCCATTCCCATATTGTGGAAATATTCCATTGGAAATGTATTAAGAAGTTAGTAATTAGAAAATTAGGAATATTCCATTGGAATGATTAAAAAATATTCCTTTGGAATATTGTGGGAATATTCAAATGAAATTTGAAAATATTCCATTGGAATATTGAGATAATATTCCATTGGAATCGTATGGGATATCCCATTGTAATATTTTTAAAAATATTCTAGCCGAATAAAATTATAATTTTTAAGGAATATTAAATAGAAAATAATGTCTATATTTATATGTTATAAGAAACCCGAGAAGGTGCTCGCGTAGCATTGTCAAGTGTAAATAACTCCATCAGAACATTAATTCTCAGAGAATGGCAAAATCACCGACACTGTTCACACTTTGGTAGGAAGTGTTCATTCCGTTTATTCTACACGGCAGTAAAAGGCTTCCGGGTTGCTACCGCATTCTGAGAGGGAAACGAGGTACTTCCGGTGCTTCCGTAGACAAAGTTTCGTTGGGACGTCGCGTTGTCATTGTAGGACAACCCGCCCCAACAACTCGAAGGTCAAAAGGTAATAACTGTTAGATACACGTGTGTGCAGTGACCGCAATTCGTGAAATATTTGCGCAATAGTTGTATTTTTATAATGCATAAGAAATTTGACAAATATAAAAATATTCCATTGGAATATTTCAGGGAATATTATATAACTATTACATTGGAATATTTTAGAACTATTTTTGGAATAATCCAAGGGTAATTTTAAAAATATTATAAAATTATTCCATTGTAATATTTTAGGAATATTATATAACTATTACATTGGAATATTTTTGGAAAAATCCATCGGTAATTTTGGAAATATTATAAAAATATTCCATTGGAATATTTTAGGAATATTATATGACTATTACATTGGAATATTTTAGGAATATTTTTGGAATAATCCAACAGTAATTTTGGAAATATTATAAAAATATTCCATTGTAATATTTTAGAACTATTTTTGGAATAATCCAAGGGTAATTTTAAAAATATTATAAAATTATTCCATTGTAATATTTTAGGAATATTATATAACTATTACATTGGAATATTTTTGGAAAAATCCATCGGTAATTTTGGAAATATTATAAAAATATTCCATTGGAATATTTTAGGAATATTATATGACTATTTAATTGGAATATTTTTGGAAAAATCCATCGGTAATTTTGGAAATATTATAAAAATATTCCATTGGAATATTTTAGGAATATTATATGACTATTTAATTGGAATATTTTGTGTAGTTTTGAGAAGACAAAAACTAAGTCTGGATCTCGTTAACACTTTACGTAATGCACATCAATTTACTTCAGCCTGAGACCCTCCGAGGTGAATTAATGAAGGAGAATGGAAATTGCCTCAAAAAAAAAGGAAAAAAGAAAAAAAACAGACCAGGAAGATAAACATTCACCCATTTACCATTTTTTTTTCTGATTTCTAGATTTTGTTCAAGACGACATCTAATTACGTCTTCTAAATAAAAAATTGAATCCAATTTATAAATCTTATGCTACTCATTCAGTTAAAAGAATTTTTTTTTTTTTTTTAGAATTTTGTCGCAAATCTTCAAGAATTATTTCTTTACTTTATTCTTGAATGCAGAGAGAAAGTCTTCTTTTACATTAAAATCGAGACAATATTAATTGTATTTTAAATATATGAAAAAAGAAGGAAACTGTTTTAAATATTTTTTTAAAAAAAGGCCAAATAAATTTATATTACGAGTCTCAACATTTTTCTTCGATTAAAATAATTATAATTTCCATAACTTCCATAAATTATGTAAAATAGAAAAAGTGTTTTTTACTGTATATTATCAAAGTTATAAAAAATGTATTCTCCTTTGCATAAGAAAATAGAAACTTTTTTTATATAATAATTAAAAAAAAGAAAGTCACCTTAATTTGATTTAGTTTTTTGCCGGGAGTTTAAAAATTTACAAAACATTTTTCACAAAAATTTGAAATTCCATTTTGTTCGCAGATTTTTTTTTTGCATTAAAAAAACAGAGAGAAAGAAAAAAAAAGATTTAGAAGTAGGTGAAGAAAGATTCTTAACTTTTCACTGGGGGTTTTTTTTTTATTTCTCTCTAATAGCCCTAGACGGAGAGACAGGGGTCGGACATGCAAGAAAGGTTTGCAGCACAGTAACATACAAGAATGGTGGGGATTCTAGTCGATGTTTTCGTAAAGTAAGGCAAGTTGCTATATATATATTGTGTATGCACGTCCGAGCTTTCTCCTCACTTTCTGACTTCCGTA